GGGGAGGCGGCGGGGAGGGTTGGTTTCTTTTTTCCACCATGGAGAGCATTTCTGCATTCTACAAAGTTAGGCTGGAAGACGGGCTGATCAGGTAACACCGTCCAGGTTTTAGCTGAAGATCTTCTGCGGCTTTATGAAGACTTCCATCGGATTAGAGAAAACACTGCATGGACCACGTACAGCAGAGTGGCTACGTAGGAAAACACCTGCAACCCAGATAAGTGGCTGTTAGTGGGCTTGTGTAGGGACAGGGATGGCGTGGCCGTCCACACTGCATGGGCCGCTCGCCTGGCCCTTGGGATGATAGGCCTGCCGTGTGTGGCCTGCTGCCACTTCCCACACTCACTCAGTATCCTTCCTTGCTGATCCCAGATGTGGCCCCACAATGCTTTTGGCACAGAGTCCAGGTGACCGGATGATCCACTGGGCTTGTGTGCAAGGCCAACCATCTGCCATCTCACGATCACGTGGGTGCCACCCAATTGGAAGGGGTGCAGGAGAGTGCCAACCACTGTCCACAGAAAACATCCCTCCTCCACAGTAGTCAGACCAGAGCCCAGCAGCTGTGACCCAGCAGCCCCCGCTAAGGGGTCACAAGCACGTGGGCTTGGTGGCTCCAGTTAAGGTCTCGATGCTCCCTGGACATCCTTAAACCCCATTGGAATTTCATCCTATGATTCTTAACATTGTCAGCCTGGGGATGGGAGATGGGCTCATAGAAAGTAAGGGACAGGGACACGGAGGAGGGATTTTAAATTTTTGCAAGAAAGAAAGGGGCTTACTGAAAAAGCCACTAAGAAGACCCAATCCGCTGCTTTAGCCCTGGGAACTAAGGCCCTGGAACTGCAGCAAATGGTCACTTGGTGGCTGTCGTGTCCCCAACTCATTGTGTTCACTGGGCGCCATCTCTTCCTATCTCCATACTTTGGCATCTTGCCTCCCTAACCGCCTGCCTGCCCCCGAGCCAACTACCTGCACCTGGTTTTGTGACCTTGGGCACAGGTCAGGAGTTCCCAAGCCAGGCACAGCATTCAGGTGGCCACGCTTCCATGACTTTGGAAAATGCCCATAAATAGCGGTGGCACCGTGCTGCTTCCTCCCAACCTCCACACATGGGCTAACCCTTCAACTTTGGCCGTTGGCCAGGGCTGATGAGTAAGCCGAGTTATTTAATAACAAGTGAGAGAGAACACATCTGGGGACTGTGAGTGCTGAAAGGAGCGGTCATGTATATGTATGAGTGAGCAGCTCCCCAAAACTCTCCCCCATCAGTGGGGAGTGGTTCACTGCCTGGGCAGTGAGAACCCTCAGCAAAAGCACCTCGGAAGTTCCTACGGGAACAGGAAACAGAGACTTATTTTTCAAATGAGGTCAAGAAATGACACATCATGGACACTAAAGACAGAGACGTGAAGGGACTTTAAGCTTTCAAAACCCCTCTCCCTTAACGCCTGCCATGAGTGCCTACCATAGGCCCAGGAACCTGCAGATGTCTGTAGAAATTTCCAGCTACCTTCAGTCAAGTCCACCAAGCCCAGGACCCCAAAGGCCAGGGACACGGGAAGAGGTCCCCAGCCACCTCCCCACACCCAGATTGGTCGCCAACAGTCCCTCCGAAGGGCAATTGTGGTTGGGCAGGGTCTGGGGCTAAATCCTGCGTAATAGTGACTCCTTCTGTCTTGCACACTGATGCAGTTGATGCTTGGAATAGAAAGGCATGACTTTACATGGAACTGAGCTCCCATCTCCCTGTGGGGTTTCGATTCAAGGCGTCCAAGGCAGAGGGAGTTTTGATCTTGATTCTGGCACTGCTGACTCTGCCTGGGCACGCTCATGGTTCTCCAGCTCAACTAATGGAAACGTGGGGATGCGGTCAGTCGTTGGGTAGATGGGCAGGTATTGGTGCGGTGCTCCACGGAACACTACTCAGCAGTGAGAACAAACACCATAATACTCTCACCTGGCCACGTGCGTGGGCCCACAAGCCTGAGGTTGAGAGAGAGAAGCCAGACATCACAGAGCACACAGGGCACAGCCCCGTCTCCATGGATTTCAAAAGCAGGCAAGGTTGAACCCAGAAGCTAGAAGTCGGGCAGGGGTCGTCCTTGGTGTGGGTGCCCCATGATGGTGGCAGGACAGGAGTGGGACTCTGGGAGCAGTTCATTCTGTTGTTTCGTGATCAGGATGCTTGTTACACAGAGGGGTCCACTTTATGAAAATTCATCGAGCTGCACAGTTGCATCCTGCTCACTTCTCTGATGTGTGTTGCATTTTGATGAAAAGTAAGCAAGTTGGAACACGGTTGAGTCCAGTGGGTCTCCACTAGAGACCTGTCCGTCTGTGTTGCCCTGTCAAGTGCTGCCCTGCATTTCACGGCTGTTGTCTGCAGCAGTTTTATAGAAATGGTTGTTAAGTACCTTGCTTATGTCTGCTCGGGGAGAAGCTCTAGGTTGGGCTGGGGAGTTATGAGGCTCTCGAGGTGAGGGGAAGATGACAGAGTCACTTGAAGGATGACCCTCCTCCCAGAAGGAAGGCCCACCAAGGCGCTGCTGGCTGTGCTGCTGTCTATAAACGCGCCTTCCCGGGAGATGAGCCCACGTGGGGCCATTCTACACTGTGGGACAGTGAGGGGTGCCAGGGACCATGAGGTGGCCGTGTTTATGGAACTGGGGAGGAGGCTTGGAGCTTAAGGGGAGCGTGTGGCTTTCTCAGGGCAGGGGACAGGCCCACAGGGACTAGCAAGGCTTCAGGGAACTTCCTCAGGCCCCTCGCCAAAGCCCACCGCCCCTTCCCACCCCACGGTGTCCTCTCGCCTCTGCTCCACCATTTCCAAAACGGGTGCTGGCCAAACTTTGGTACCTGGAACTGGCATCTCGTGACCTATCACCACACCTGACCTCAGGGCTTGCTCGATTCGTAGGCCGATCTCCAGAGTCTGAGAAGTGCTACTTCTGAGCTATTGTCTTATTTTTTCAATTCCCACCTTAATGCCGTGAGTCAGCACAGGGGTTGGTGCAGGCCCACGCACGCACGGCTCTGGGAAAATCCTCCCGAAACACCCCGTCCTTGTCCCCCCGTCACTCTGACCTTTCCGTTAAAAAGAAAACCCAGTTCACAGTGGTCTGGCCCTGCCACTGGACAGCACTCCTCTTAGAGCACAGAGACCTGACCCCGTCACAGGCAGCCGGCACTCCCACCTGTCCTGCGGAAGGGCCAAGTGGGGTGCAGGCTCATGTCCCACCCACTGCCCACTGGGAGGAAGTCGCTGACCATCCCCGTGGTCCTCAGGGGACCGGACAGGAAGGACACTCCATCTCACAGATGAACATGCTGAGGCCCGGAGGCTGCCAGGGACCCGCACAAGGAGTGGAGGACAGGCGACTCGGGCCCCTCCAGCAAGACGGTGTCACGAAGGCCTTCCAAGCAGCCAACACCCACAGCTGGGGGTGTCTGGACATGCTGGGCCTGGCAGGGCCTCCCCAGCCCCAGCCGGAGCCAGGGCCTGGCCAGACACTGGCCACTCGACTCTGCACCCCTGGCACCAGTGCTCCCCGGCACTGACTGCATATCCATGGCAGAGCGACCACCCAGCTAGAGCCAGGAGACCCAAGGGGCCAGACTCACTGCCCCGTGCCAGTGCTGAGTGTGGGTGACAGAGCGCTGGGTCAGGACACTTGGTGCCCCGACCTGTGGACTCGGGCCTTGGTCCTCCCTCTGTGAAGTAGGTGTAATGACAGCCCCCTCCTAGGGCTGCCGTGAGGATGAAGTGAGACGGGTCGCAGGAGCTCAGAATGCCGCAGTGGCCATGCACCCTCACACATCTGCCCTCCACACGCCCCAGGCCCAGGTAGTGCAGCCTGGACCAATGGCCCGGGAGCCTTGGGCATTTTACTCCCTTCTCTGGGGCTTTCCTCTTCAGAAACGAGGGAAAGGTTTACATCCTTCTGAAGCCAGGAACTAGAGAACAGAGGGGCTAGGCAACCTGGGGCTCAGCCTTCAGTCAACAGGGACTCACCACAGCGGAGATGTTCTCGTGGTACTGCTTGTAGGTGAAGCCCTCGTACATCTCGATGGTGGCCAGGGCTTCCAGGACGGAGGCGCTGAGGTAAAACAGGGCTGCGGTGCAGTGGTAGGCTGCATCCTGCAGGGGCAGGAAGGGCCTCAGAGGGACGGGCACCCGGAGTGCAGGCAAGGGCTGCTGGGGTCCCCCGGCATGGCTCAGGTTCGTCCCCACATCCCCCCAGCACTGAGCCACCAGCCCCTCCCCCCAGGCTGTGTAACCAGCAGTCTTCTCTCCCTGTTTTGGGGACCGGAGGAAGGGCTTCGATGGAGGTGGGATGCTGCTTCCCCTTAAGGTGGGATCAAGAGGACGTGAGGCAGAAAGGGCAGCTGGGGATTTAATCGGTAGAAATTGGTTCTGGACCTCAGAAGGGTCACTGGCGGTCACAGTCCAGGTTCAGATATGGCCTCGGAGGCCAGTGCAGGATGAGAGAGGCCCAGGCCATTTCCACTGTTGTTTTGTTTTCTCTCTTTTTTTGGGGGGGGGGGCGGGGAGTTGGGCGCCCAGATATGTTTAAAAGCAAACAAGGAGTTCTGAGAAGCTGTAATGGGGAAGTGATTTCAAAGTCTCAGCAGGAGGCCTTTTGAGAGCAGGAGGCCCAGCCAAATGCCCCCTGCTTTCCAGGGAACGTGATGACGTGATGACGGGTGTCTGTGTGTGTTTTACCCTCTTCCTGGGCTCCAGGCGGAATCTATACAGGATGGACCACAGGTCACCCCTTGCCCCGCTGCAGTCCTTCTCTGGTGCCTCCACTTTAGAAGGTGTAACTGGGAGCCGAGCAGTAAGCATGGCCTCACTGGGCAGCAAAGGCCAGTCCTGGGGACCAGATGGAAACCAGCCCTCCTGGAAGGAGGGCTGGGGGCTGGGCTGTTGGTTACTATGAGGAGGGCAGTCACACAGGAGAAAGTGGAGTAGGCCCAGCGAGAGCCTGGCAGTAGCCATCAGCTTCCTCCTGATCCCCTGACCCTCTGGCTGCTTGGACTGCTTGGCCTTGGAACATAGGTGGGCAATGTCTACGGGCAGCCCCCCAGGGGAGAGGGTCCAACACTGCTTTTCCCTCAGACATCTGGATGGGACTCACCAGGGTGACCCAGGAGGCCTCCCCGCCATGGGTGCCAATTATGTACAGGATGAGCAGGGCAGTGGTGGCCACGAAGCAGAACACAGACACGAACATCACCCAGCCCTGGACCAGGGGCATGGGCACCAGCGACGAGGCGACCAGGATCCACACCAGGCCCCCGAAGACCTGCAGAGGGCGGGTGGCAGGGGTGAGTGCTGGCCAGGAAGGGCCAGAAAGGACTCTCACCCCCAGCGCTGCAGCCTGAACTCCCGCCCTAGCCCATCTATCCCCAGCTTGCTTGCCATTTTTCATTTAAAGAAAATAAATAAAATTTTTATTGAATAAATGCTTGCACCACCTTTATCTGCCAGGCACTGTCCTAAGTGCTTTAACTAACTCAGGTAATTAATTCTCACAACCTCACTAGCGAGATGATCCCTGTGTCAGAGGGGGACTGAGGCATGTGGCAGTGAGGCAGCTGTCACCCAAGGAAAGACTCATCCATCCAACGCTATCATCAGAAGGGTTGTGCTTTGTCCTGAGGCGACACCCTCCCTCCCTAGTATTTGGTGTGAAACCCGCTTTCCGTTATGTAAGGGTGGCGACCAGCTGATGAGTTGGCTGTACTGAGTCATTAGCATTTCTTTTTCTGAAATCCCAAGTCCAGGAGGGCCCAGGTCAGCCTGGCCTACCCCGCAGCCTGGGACAGGCATGAGGGAAGCACTTCCTGTCGTGATCCGGAAGACAAACCTGTTGCTGTCCACAAGGGCAATGAGCCCTGTCTTCAAAGAGGAGCATGAGGTCAGCAGCGTCCCCCAACACTGCAGTCCCACTGCCCCAAAGACACGTGCACACCAACTCACGCTGAGATTTTCTGTACACACTTTTCCCTCCCTTTGTCACTCTTCATCTCGGTGAAATCACAGCCTCACCCTCCACCGCCACCCAGATAAGGGCATACTCAGGGCTGGACATGGGTGGACATGGCTTTGCAGTCAGAGGTCCCAAGGTACTGTGGTACGTGCATGCCACCGTCCTCCCGAGTATCAGGGGAACTCCGTTCCCTGTGGTGTGAAGTCAAGCACATCACCTGCTGGGTAAGAGCCTGCTGTCTTCACAGGTGGTCTTGGAACCTCTTGGCTTGGAAACATCAAGAGAGAATCATATTTGGGTATAAAAGTCAGTGTGGTGGGGAAGCTGGACTTGGCATAACCAAGTTTGGCCTGATGGATCACAAGTGGGCCTCTCTGTGCAGAAAACTTTCCTACTGGCGTATTTGAGGCTGCCTGAAGGCACCTGACAGGGTCACAGACTGGGAGCGGAACAGCTGGGGGACAGGAAGCTGAGGCCAGGAGGGACTCTCTTCCCAAGGGCCCTGGCCAGACTTCGTGGCTGTGAGAACTGCAGTGCAGATGTGAGTCGGAGCCCAGCCCTCTCTGCCGGCACCATCAGTGCCCACCAGGCACGGTGTTTGCATGTGGGCCCTGAAAGGGCGCAGTGCAGCCCACTGAGGAGGCTGTAGCATGCCATCCCATCTCCTGGCCCCGGTTCCTCGTCTATAGGTCACAATGTTTGCATGTGGGCCCTGAAAGGGCGCAGGTGCAGCCCACTGAGGAGGCTGTAGCATGCCATCCTATCTCCTGGCCCCGGTTCCTCGTCTATAGGTCACAATTTGCAGCTGTCTCCCCACCTTGCTGTGGGTGTGAGTTGGCTGAAACCACAGATGTGAGCGGATACCTCGGGGACTGGGCGCAGTACTACCCCACAGCTGGGGTGGCCTGGGAGGCCCAGTGGAGACGGTAGCAGGGTGCTAACTGGCCCCGAGGGGACTGAGGCGGGGCTCCAATCAGGTCTTGAAGGGAGAGGAGACTTAGCTGGTTCACTGGGCCAAAGGTCAAAAATCAGCTTTCCAGGGGAGACAAAAGAGGACACCTCAAGCCCTGAGGGCACAAGAGTGGCAGTGAAGGTGGCAGAAGGCTGAGGAGCTGTGCACAGGGTCGGGGGCAAGGAGAGGCGAGAGATGGGGCTTGAAGGAGGAGATCCTCAAGGCAGAACTGACCACTGGGCCAGCGGGAAGTCCTCCCAGGTGGGCTCAGTGCAGAGCTGAGGTTCGGCCTGAATCATGGGCCCAAGCCTCCCTTCACCCACAGAGTGCAAACCCAGCAAACAGAGAGCCGAGGTGCCACACCCACATCTCGCAGATAAGGCACCAAGCAGGGAGCAGTCACTGCAGACCAGCCCAGCCCAGCCCAGGCGCAAAACCCCACTGGCCAAATATTTGTCAAGAGCAAGGGGTAGGTGAGGGTTCAGCATGTCCCTCTGGAAAGAACACTCAACGTGCTTCCCAGCTTCCAGGAGGCACACGTTCAGAGGCCATCACCTTGAAATTGTCACTCGCTCAGGTGGAACCTGGCCATTTCCTTCCATGTCTGTCTACAGGCTGGACTTCCACCCACCCCTGCCTGCACCCAGGTCACCCCCGCCGTGACAGAGATGGTGCAGCTGCTAGGGTGGTCTCAGACAAGATCTCTAAATCTCCTGGGTGGAGCCCTCTCCCTGGGCCCCAGGTCCCCAAGCTGGACAAGTGGGGTCGGCCCTGAGCTGGCTATCACTCCGTGGTTCTTAGCCCTCGCTCTTCACTAGAATCGTCGCGACACCTTGAACAAACACCAACATCCAGGGTTGGATTTGTTTGGAAAGAAGTAGTTACAGGACAAGAAATGGACATCCAGGCTCAAGAAACGGACAACCAGGCTCTTGCCAGAGGCCTTGGAACGTGTTTCCATCCCACTGGCCGTGGAAGACGTCCTGGGATCACCTGTCTTCAGAGCCCCACCTGCTGTCCAGTGACGCCGGCTGAGACACCACTGTTCCTTCCTGGGTTCTGGCCGCAACATTCCCTCTCCTTTCCTTAGCCTCTGTCTTACCTTGATCCTGAGGTCATCCTCGGATGTCCTCTGGTCACCGGGACACAGCCTCAGTGTCTGTGACTGGGGGCTGAGCTGGCGCAACGGGCTCCTCGCCACCCTAATGTTTTGGGACTGGACACTTGTCTTTAAATTCAGACTGACTTGGATGCTGAGCAGAGCAGAGGCTCTCGGAACCAACGATAATGCACAAAATGAGACAAAAATTCCTCACGACGTAAAGGAGTGCAAGTCTGTGGTCTACCCGATCAAATGGTTTTCGTGAAAGAAATTTCCCCGGGAGAAAGCCTTGCGAGCCCTCATGCAAACCCAGAGAAAGTTCTCTCTTTGTCTATCTGAATTAATCCACGGCGGGTAGGTGAGGGTGGTTCAGGGTGTAGACTTTAGGAGAAGACTTTGAATCCCAGCTCTGCCACTTACTAGCTGGGTGGCCTGTTGTCCCCTGGGCAAGTTACTTAACCTCTCTGTCCCCTATCTGAAAAATGGTGGTGACAAGAGCACCCACCCATGTGGTAGGGGCACAATGACTTTATGTCTACAGACGCCCAGCACACGGTGAACTATCACAACTGTTACGTGATGAGGCAACACCTCACCTGTAACCATGTGAGAATCCCAGGAGTTCTAGGTCCATACGTGCACAATTATCCTCTCCAAACCTTGTCGGGATCCAGAACTTAAAAATAACTTCAAAAGCATCAAAAGGAGAAAAACCTTTGATCTCCCAGAAACCAAAAGTGGAAAAAAAATGTGTCTGCCTCCATAGGAACAAACACGAAGGACATAAAAGTATGAGAAAGCCATCCTTCGAACAAAAGGCCTCAGTTATGAAACGGGAAAGAAAATATCGGGAACATTCTTGAGAGACACAGGGCTGACTGGCTGGGCATCCACAGTCACCCACCATCTCTGTCACGGGGCTGGAGAACTGAGCTCAGTGCCAAGGAATTGCTCACATTCTCTGGATATTTTCTGGGGCCCCATTGTGCTCTGCCAGGGTCTCCGCCAGCAGACACGCTTCCAGTGACATATCTGGGTGTAAACCACGGAGGCTCCCCACGTAGGTCTTTCCACAGGCACGCCTGGCGGTGTGGCCCCTGCAGCTCCGAGCACCTGGCATGTGTTCTGGAGGCGCGTGTGGGCAGGACATGGGCTATGCTCCCAGCACTGAGCCATCCTGCCACTTTGGTCAGGTCTCCCCAGGGAGGGAAGAAAAAGACAGCCACAGCAGAGGAGACTTGTCCCCGAGCCCCTCGGTGCTCTCCAAAGGCCACCAGGGCCAGCAGCCCCAATCTGTCATGCTGGAAATGTCTGTGCTCACTGGAGCATCTAGGACTTGGGGGCATTGAAACACCAGGAGGGCACGGTTGAGGGGGATTTGACCAGCACAGGACATGAGCACCAGGCAGCAGGAGGATGACACAGATGGAGGTCAGAGGGTGAAGACGCAGGACCCCCAAACCCTGAAGCCTTCCCCGGGGCCGCTTGGCTCTTCTCTTCAGGAAATAGGTCTGAGAGGGAGAACGGGGACTCCCTTGTCTGAGGCAGGGAGCGGACACAGAGCGGGTCATGCCAGCTCTGGTTCTTGCATGAGCCCCACTGCCCTTGTCTGGAGGAAATGAGGTCCCAGCAAGTCCAAGGAGATGCTTCCTTCACTCGCCCACTCATGCATTTAGCAGATGCCGAGGTTGGCCATGAGCATGGTCGGCATTGAGGGCTGCTGCACGCAGGAGACAGGCCTTATCCAAAGACACACTGCTGAACTGAGCCCCTCTCCTGGCCCAGGCAGCCAGGCCCACCGGAGCAGCTCTGGATCCACCAAAATCAGAGTCAGGTCTTGCTGAAAGTACCCAGACTTATCCCCAAGTGGGGACGGCCAGCCAAACCCCTCTGCCCAGGACAGGGATGGAGCCCAGAAGTATGCTCAGCATGCCTGGCTCTGACTCACAGGGAGGTGTCTGGGGAAGGTCAGAAGACCGTGTGGGGACTCCCTCCCCCTCTGCCAACTGACAAGGCACTTATTGGCAGTCTGACTGTGGAGGCTCTCCCACGGCGGACACTGGGAGTGGCATCGAGGCCCCTGGCTCAGTTACATGTACCAGATGCTTGGCCCCCCTGGCCACTTCATTAGCAGGCTCCTTCCTCCAAGGGGAATCCATCATGCCCTTGTTCCTCCTAACACAGGCTTAGATTTTTGTCCTTCTACCTAACCTGAAGGCAAGACTGGGACTCGGGGCATGGAGTCCATTTGTGAAGATT